TCTCGTTTTCGCTGCTGGACCTCCTGGGGTCGGATGCGCACGTCGGGCTGCGAGCCCAGGGGGGAAGTGAGAAGGGGCGGGCCTTCCCAGAAGGCTCCGAATTCCCCAGACCTTCTGAGAAGTTTTCGAAGCCTTGCCCGAAGACACAGAAAATGCTTCGGAAGGCCGGAAGCCTTCTGAGAAGCGCCGCCGCCTTCTTAAAAGGCCTTCTCCGTCTCCCTTCCCCCCCCCCGCTCGCCGCCGAGAAAGGGGTGGCCCTGCACTGGAGTGACCACCCGTTGGTGCGGGCCCACGGGGGTCCCCCCCAGCATTGGCCAGCGCGCGTGGGCTTGGCCCTCCCCCTGGCGGGCCGCGGGCCCCCGAAGCCGCGCACAACAAAGGCCACCTCTTGCCCGGGGTCACTGCTCTTGCGTGCAGGGCCAAGGCGCTCCAGCAAGGACCACTTTGGGCTCAGGGAGGGCTCTGATTCCTGGGCGTACGCCGCACCGCCGACCCCTTGGGGGGGCTCCTGGTAGGTCTCTCGGGGGCCTCCTGGCAGCACTTCTGAGGCCCCGTCGGGGGGGCCTCTGAGGGCCTTCTTCTGTGCCTCTGGGTGGGCCTTTGGGAGCCTCTTGGGGGTCCTCCCAGGGGCCTCTTGGGGAGGAGGGAGGAGGAGGAGGGAGGAGGAGGAGGAGGAGAGGAGGAGGAGGAGGAGGGAGGAGGAGGAGGAGGAGGAGGCAGGAGGAGGAGGGAGGAGGGCAGGAGGAGGAGGAGGAGGAGGAGGAGGAGGAGGAGGAGGGGCCTACTGGGTGCTCGGGCCGCTCCTCCGGCCCAGCTCGGGGAGCCTCCTCGCGGCCGAGGCTCGGCCTCCGCCGGGACCCGGAGAAAGGAAGCTCTTCGCTCCTCCTCCTCCTCCTCCTCCTCCTTCTCCTCCTCCTCCTCCTCCTCCCTCCTCCTCCTCCCTCCTCCTCCTCCTCCTCTCCTCCCTCCCTCCTCTCCCTCCTCCTCCTCCCTCCTCCTCCTCCTCCTCCTCCTCCTCCTCCTCCTCCCCCTCCTCCTCCTCCTCCTTCCCTCTCCTCCTCCTCCTCCTCCTCCTCCTCTCCTCCTCCCTCCCCCTCCCTCCTCCTCTCCTGCTCCTGCTCCTCCTCCTCCTCCTCCTCTCTCCTCCTCCTCCTCCTCCTCCTCCTCCTCCTCCTCCTCCTCCGCCTCCTCCTCCTCCTGCTCCTCCTCCTCCTCGGGTGGTCGCGGGGGCGGCCCGCCGCGCAGCTCGCGAGGCCGGCCAGGGGGGGGCGTCGGGGACCTCGGCGAGAAGGAAGGCGGGAGTGAAGGGGGCCCGGGAGAAGCCCCTTCGCTCCGCGTGCAGCGTTCCTGCGGGTAGCGTTACGACCGCGGCGGGCACGGGGGTGGTCGCGGGGGCGGCCCGCCGCGCAGCTCGTGAGGCCGGTCAGGGGGGGGCGTCGGGGACCTCGACGAGAAGGAGGGCGGGAGGGCCTGGTACGGCCACGGGCAGGCGGAGCTCGGAAAAAAGGTTCCGACTGCCGTAGCAGCAGGGAGGGGGCCAACGCCCTTCCAGACGAGAAGTTGCAGACCCCCCCCCAGGCCAGCCATGAGAGGGCGGCCTGTGATCCAGACCCCCCAGAACCTCCAAGACAGGTCCAAGCAGACCCCCGAACAATCAGACTGCCCTCTTTTTATTTCCAAATCCAGAGTAGCCAGGGCGTCCAGGGCCTGGTCTTGCGCGAAAACGGGCGGGCAGCCTGAGAACTCCAGGCGTCGCGAACAACAAAAAAAACACGACGGGCATGCCTGCCCTCGAGTGCGGCGTCCAGGGGTCCGCCCTCGGGCCCCGGGACGGTCACCGCACGATCCGCGGTGGACAGCGTGTCCTGGCGGTGGAGGCGGGGGGCTCTGGGGGCCACGTCGTGAAAAGCCAGGACGTCGGAGGTCCGGGGATGCATCTTCCACCGCCGGCGCCGTCAGCACAGCACGGCGGCCGGCTGTTTCGGGCCTCGGGCGCCCCCCGACACAACCCTCCTGTGAAAGAGGGGGTGCTCCAGGGCTACGCATCCGATGCCACGATGTTTTGTTGTGCCACGTCATCCGATGTCACGGTCTTTTGCGCCACCTTCGCCCCCCCCTGGCCTCTCGTCCCCTGCCTTCCCTGCAGGGGGCCCTTGGCTTCTTCCTCCCGCAGATCGCGTGCCCGCGTGCCCCCCCCCCCCGCGGCCGGAAGGCAGAGCCCCGGCGGGGCTCGCAAGAGGAGCGAACGGCGCCCGCCTGGACTTTGGTCCGAGGCTTCGGGTGTCTGGCAGGGCTCGAGCTACACGGTGTTTTGGCAGTTTCGTGGACCGTTTTCGTTTTGAGTTTTGATTTCGTGGACCGTTTTCGTTTTGATTTCGTGGACCGTTTTCGTTTTGATTTCGTTTTGCAGCAAATGTGGCACGAAACGGTGTCTTGGCAATGTCGTGGACCGTTTTCGTTTTGAGTTCGTGTTGCAGCACATGTGGCACGAAGACAGAACTAGGGATGACGAAAGCAAAACGAAAACGGAAAGCACTGTTTAACTCGAGCCCTGGTGTCTGGGGAGCCCCGCCATCAGGCATCCACTCCCGGGCCTCCCAGATGCGAAGGGGAGAAAGGCGGCATCAACACGACCTTCTGGCGCTCCGCGCGGTTTTCGTGGATCCGCGCTGGGCCCCCCGGCGGCGCCTCCGGCGCCGCCCCTGGCGCGCTCCGCGCGCCAGGAAGGGGGGCCCAGCGCAGACCTAAGACAATTGCGCGGAGCACCAGAAGTTTATGTTTATGGCGTTATTTGTCCGTCTATCTAGGCCTCCCAGATGGGGTCCGAGTAGATGGGGGCGGAGAATCGCGCCGTATCGTCGATGCATCGGCGAGGCGGTTCGATGTGGAGCCCGATTTTCTCCACGCTGGAGCCGCCGCTGCATCGCCGATGTATCGGCGATGCGGTGCGATCCTCCGACCCCGGCTACTCCGATCCCATCTAGGAGGCCTCTGACACACGGGACGGTCTGGGCTCAGGTCTTTACGGGCACTTGGCCTAACAGCAAGGTCGCGGGGGGATGCAGTAGGCACGCCTAACAAGAAGGCGGCCTGCTAGCGGGCGCGCCGCGGGAGGTCTTCATATCGGGGCCCACTGAAATTTGGGGCGCCTACGGAAGCACAAAGCTCAACGACAAACGCGTCCCTGAGTCTATGGCACGATCTCTCGCCGGATGTGCCGACTGTGCCCACCGAGACTTGGGCCCGAGGCCGACAGTGGAAACCCGTGCCAAGAAACACCCTGCTTGCCTCCAGGGTGCCCTGGGTTTCTTGGGTTTCGATGGTCTTGCGATGGAGAGCGCGACGTTCCCACACCAAAAATCCATGGACACCCTGGGGTCTCAGGGTTGGGTGTCTTGGGGAAGGTTCCTTGTGGTCGAGCTCCTACTGTGCGAATTTGAAAGACGGGGTGCTGTAGAGCCCGACGGGCCCGATCTGGGCCCAGGCCCCAACGGGCAGCTGGCCTCCTGGCACGGGCCGCGGAGCGGCAGTCCACCGAGGCACTCCTCCTCCTCCTCCTCCTCCTCCTCCTCCTCCTCCTCCTCCTCCTCCTCCTCCTCCTCCTCTGCCTCCTCTGCCTCCTCTGCCTCCTCCTCCACCTCCTCCGCCTCCTCCTCCTCCTCCTCCTCCTCCTCCTCATCATCATCATCATCATCATCATCATCATCATCATCATCATCATCATCATCATCATCATCATCATCATCATCATCATCATCATCATCATCATAATTATCCTCCTTCTGGCGATGTGATGTTTGCTCAATCCCGGCTTGTGTTCTTCGATGTCGGTCTCATGGGGCCCGCGATCGGACGGTGCAGGCGGTTCCCTTCGGTTTCTTGGCCTCGGGATGCTCTCCAGCGGGTGCGCTTTGTCGAGAGCGCTCCGGGGATGCCCTGCTCGTCCCGAGCGGCCGCCGAAGCCCGAGTTGTGACGAGGGTGGTGACTTTTCCCGTCTAGGCGTCTGTGCCTCCATTGCGGCATCTTGGGCCCGTTACACGCAGGTCGTTGAGAGTAGGCAGTTCTAGATTCCCGGATCCCCAAGAATCGGCACGTCCTGATGTGCTGCGGTATGTTGTGGGAGGGCCTGCACCCACCCTTTTTGATCCGCCTTCCCACCTCACGCTTGTACCTAGTCCTTCCGACCGACGTGCATTGGGTCCCGGGGATCATCCACATCAAAGTTGGACCCGGGTTGACGAACGACCCCCGGGGGAAGGGTCGGGACCTCTGGGGCCGCGCCTGCAGACACGCGCATCGGCGGCTGCCTGGGCTTCCCCTCTCCCGCACCATCAGACAGTACGCGTGGCAGCTGGTGCTCGAGTCCCGTGAGAACATTTTGGGGAACGAAAGATAGCATAAACATAAGAACTCGGAGGTCCGCGCGCATTTCTTGGATCCGCGCTGGACCGCCCTCCCTGGCGCGCGGAGCGGGCCAGGGGCGGCGCCGGAGGCGCCGCCAGAGGGCCCCAGCGCCGAACCAAGAAGTCCACTCGGACCTCCGAGTTATCATGTTTGTGGTATTGTCCGTTCCCCTGGACATCTCCATGGCGGGCAGGAGCACCGAATGGAGGCTCAACAGCACGCTGCGCGAGCGGAGCCGGGAGGAGCAACGGAGCCTTCAGCATGCCTCGAGGCAGCAGCGGGAGCAGGCGCTCGCGCACGAGCGGGAGTGGCTCGCGGCGCAGACGGCCCACAACGAGTCCCTGCGGTCTGCCGCCGAGTACGAGATGCTGTCGTCGGCCTACGCTGCGATGGGGAAGGAGTTCTGGGCCTCCCAAGCGGGGTCCGAGCAGATGGAGTCGGAGGATCGCGCCGCATCGCCGATGCATCGCCGATGCGGCCCGATGTGGAGCCCGATTTCCTCCACGCCGACGGCGCCGATGCATCGGCGACGCATCGGCGATGCGGCGCGATCCTCCGACCCCATCCACTGGGACCCCAGCGGGGAGGCCTCCAGGAGTTCTCCAGGGACCAGGGCCTGTGGCAGCAGCTGGCGCACAACGCGACGGGGCTCCGCCAGGGGTACGGGGCCGCCGTGCAGGACTGGAGCGCCGCGCTGGGCGAGGGCAGCTTGGCGTCCCAGGCGGGCGAGCTGCTGCTGCGCAACGCCACCGCCGCCCTGCACCGGAACATGAGGTGGCTGAAGGACGCGGTCGACACCGTCGACCTGATGGGGAAGGCGGTGCCCCAGCCGTTCCAGGACGTCAACTGGACGAGGCACGCCGTGAGGCTGGCGTCGGACCTGTCCGCGCTGGGCTACCAGCGCGGCCGCGAGGCCGAGGCCCAGGTGCAGCGGGCGGAGAGCCAGGCGCAGCGCGCCCAGGTGGCCACGCGGACCAACGCAGAGAGGCTGGACAAGCTGGAGGAGATGGTCGCCGAGGCCGAGGGTCAGGCGCTGGCGCTGGCCCGCTGAGGCCAAGGGGGCCAGGCGCTGGCCGCGCGGGCGCGGGCGCCATCCTCGGCGAACGGCGGTGGCCCGCTGAGGTCGGCGCAGGCGCGGGCGCCACCTGCGTGGGCGACGGCGGAGCAGAAAGCCTTCTCCACCGTGTCGTGGCTGTCTCTTCTCTTTCTCATCGTTGTGTGGCGTGGTGTGCAGGTGGTGGCATCGGCCAGAGTGGCTGCCCGGGCCAGATGTTGGACGTGCTGCCTCACCTGATCCGCTTCCTTGCTTCTTTGCGTCCTGGTCTGCTTCCCGTCCCTCCGCTTCTCCCCCATACGGCGGGGGCGTTCGTTAAGGAATGTGCCCAGGAAGCTTCAGATCCAGGGGTGTTCTTACGCTGACGAGGGCGGCGGCGATGTCCATGGCCAAGCCTCAACTGGTGTGTCACCAGCTTCCAGACCCTGGATTCCTGATCGAAGACGCCTACGGAGAATCACCGCCGCCCCCTGCCTTTTGGAACCGTCCATGTGGCCGAGCGTTGTGGCAAGAGCTCTGCCAAGCTATCGGCCCATGTGTTCCCCCAACGGTTGTGGAAACCCTTCAGGGAACAGTTGGGGGAGGATGGTGGGGAAGATCGGGAGGAGGCGGAGGAGGAGGAGGGGGCATTTTGGGAGCCTCTGGGGGCACTCTTGAGGCCTCCTGGGAGCTTCCTGGTAGCCTCTCGGATGCATCTTGGGGGCCTCCTTGGGCCTCTCTGGGGCCTTTGGGGGCTTCTCGGGGGCCTCTTTTTGGCCGTCTTAGGGCATTCCTGGCCGGTCTGACGCCGTCGGAAACCGTCTTGGGGTGCTCCAGGCCGTCTTGGCGGCCATCTTGGACGTCTTGGAGGCCTCTTGGCCCGTAATGGGGCCCTCTTGGGACGGTCTTGGGGGCCTCTTGGGCCGGGTCGTCCTGGGGCCCTCTTGGAGGCCTCTTGGGCGATCTTGGAGCGACATTTGGAGGCTCTTGAGCCGTCGGAAGGCCGAACAGAAGCAAATGCCAAAATCCTTCAAAAACCATCGAAAATCAATGATTTGGGCCTCTTTGGGCCTTCATGGAGAACCTCTTGGAGGCCTCTTGGGCCGTCTTGGAGACCTCTTGGGGGCCTCTTGGGCCATCTCGGCGACATATTGGGCAGTCTTGGTGGCCTCCTGGCCCGCTTGATGCCCCCGGAAGCAGTCTAAAGGGCCTCTCTGGGGCGATTTGGGGCCCTCTTGGGGTGCTCCAGGGCCGTCTTGGAGGCTTTCTTGGGCGCCTTAGAGGCCTCGTGGGACGTCTTGGGGCCCTCTTGGGGCCGTCTTGGGAGCCTCTTGGGCCGTTCTGGGGCCATCTTGGAGGCCTCTTGGGCGATCTTGCGGCGATCTTAGGGGGCTCTTGGACCGCCTCGGGCCGTCGGAGGACCGAGGAGAAGCAAGTGCCAAGATCCTTCAAAAACTTATCGGAAAGCAATGATGTTGGCCTCTTCGGGCCTTCCTGGATGACCTATTGGAGGCCTCTTCGGTCGTCTTGGAGACCTCTTGGGGGCCTCTTGGGCGGACTTGGAGGCATCTTGGACCCTCTGAGGCCGTCTTGGAGGCCATAACTGACCATCTTGGGCGAACTTAGAGGCCATCTCGGGCTATCTTAGCCGTCTTAAGCGCCATCTTGGGCCATCTTGGAACGGGAAAGGCATGGACAGATACATTTTGCGGTCCTTTCTGGGTGGCCGGCGGGACGGGCCGAAGCCCCAGGGGTGTTTTGGGGAAAAAGAACAAAAACCAAAGACCGCAGGATCTAGCACGCCAGGCACCCCTGTGGCAAGCCAACAGGGGGCGGCGGATCGAAGACGCCTACGGCGAATCACCGCCGCCCCCTGCCTTCTAGAATCGACCATGTGGCCGAGCGTTGTGGCAAGAGCTCGGCCAAGCTATCGGACCATGTGTCCGTCTTGGAGGCTTTTTTCGGCGCCTTAGAGGCCTCGTGGGCCGTCTTTGGGCCCTCTTGGGCCGTCTTGGGGGCCTCTTGGGCCGTTCTTGGGCTATCTTGGAGGCCTCTTGGGCAATCTTGGGGCGATCTTTGGGGGCTTTTGGGCCGTTTCAGACGCCAGGCACCCCTGTGGCAAGCCAACCGGGAGCGGCGGATCGAAGACGCCTACGGCGAATCACCGCCGCCCCCTGCCTTTTTGGAACCGCCTATGTGGCCGAGCGTTGAGGCCAGACCTGCCAAGCTATCGGACCACGTGTTCCCCGAATCGGTTTGGAAAGCCTTCGGGGAACACGTGGGCATCTTGAAGGTCATCTTGGCCGTCTTGGAGGCCTCTTGGGCAAGCTTTGGGCGATCTTTGGGGCTTTTTGGGCCGTCTCGGGCCAGCTTCGAGCCAACTTCGGCCATCTTGGTGGGTTCCTGGCACGTCTGAAGCCGTCGGAAGCCGTTTGGGGGGCCTCTATGGGCCGACTTGGGGCCCGCTTGGAATGCTCCAGGGCCGTCTTGGAGGCCATCTTGGGCGTCTTGGAGGCCATCTTGGGCGTGTTGGAGGCCTCTTGGGCCCTCTTGGGGCCCTCTAGGGGCCATCTTGGAGGCCACTTGGGCCATCATGGGGCTCTCTTGGGGGCCTCTTGGGCGATCTTGGGGGCTTCTTGGGCCGTCTTGAGCCGTCGAAGAGCCGAAAAGGCGCAAATGCCTAAACCCTTCAAAAACCAAGGGAAAATCAATGATTTTGCCCTCTTCGGACTCTCCTGGAGGACCTCTTGGAGGCCTCTTGGGCCGTCTGGGAGGCCTCTGGAGGGCCTCTTGGGCCGTCTTGGGCCGTCTTGGACTCTCTTGGGCCGTTTTGGGGGCCGTCTTGGAACATCTCGGGCGGACTTGAAGCCCATCTTGGGCCATCTTCGCGATTTGTTGAGGATGTCCCGAGCGAAACGGCCGTTTTTGGGCATTGAGAGATGGGTTTTCGGCAATTAGCGGGTGGCCGGCGGGACGGGCCGGAGGCCATCTTGGAGCCGTCTGGGGCAGGAAATTGGGGAATTGAGGTCCTGGAAGGGTGGCCGGCGGGACGGGCCGAAGCCCACTGGGGAGTTCTTTTAGAAAAAGAACCAAAACCAAAACCTGAAACATCCAGCACGCCGTGCACCCCTGCAAGCAGGGGGCGGCGGATCGAAGACGCCTACGGCGAATCACCGCCGCCCCCTGCCTTTTGGAAGCGCCTATGTGGCCGAACGTTGAGGCCAGACCTGCCAAGCCATCGGACCATGTGTTCCCCGAATCGGTTTGGAAAGCCTTCGGGGAACACGTGGGCGTCTTGATGGTCATCGTCGCCGTCTTGGAGGCCTCTTGGGCGATCTTTCGGCGATCTTTGGGGGCTCTTGGGCCGTCTCGGGCCGTCGGAAGGCCGAAAGAAGGGAAATGCCCAAATCCATCAAAAACCTTGGGAAAATCAGTGATTTTGGCATCTTTTGGCCTTCCTGGAGGCCCTCTTGGGGGCCTCTTGGGCCCTTTTGGGCCAGCTTCGAGCCAACTTCGGCCATCTTGGTGGGTTCCTGGCACGTCTGACGCCGTCGGGAGCCGTTTTGGGGGCCTTTCTGGGCCAACGGGGGACCCTCTTGGGGCGCTCCAGGGCCGTCTTGGAGGCCATCTTGGGCGTCTTGGAGGCCATCTTGGGCGTGTTGGAGGCCTCTTGGGCCGTCTTGGGGCCCTCTAGGGGCCATCTTGGAGGCCACTTGGGCCATCAGGGGGCTCTCTTGGGGGCCTCTTGGGCGATCTTGGGGGCTTCTTGGGCCGTCTTGAGCCGTCGGAGAGCCGAAAAGGCGCAAATGCCAAAATCCTTCAAAAACCAAGGGAAAATCAATGATTTTGGCCTCTTCGGACTCTCCTGGAGGACCTCTTGGAGGCCTCTTGGGCCGTCTGGGAGGCCTCTGGGGGGCCTCTTGGGCCGTCTTGGGCCGTCTTGGACTCTCTTGGGCCGTTTTGGAGGCCGTCTTGGACCATCTCGGGCGGACTTGGAGGCCATCTTGGGCCATCTTCGCGATTTGTTGAGGATGTCCCGAGCGAAACGGCCGTTTTTGCGCACGGTGGCGGGTTCTGCCGGAGCCCACTGGGGAGTTCTTTTGGAAAAAGAACCAAAACCAAAACCTAACAGCTCGTCCAGCACGCCGTGCACCCCTGCAAGCAGGGGGCGGCGGATCGAATGGCCTTCGGCCCATCCCGCCACCGTGCCTGGGCTGTGGGTATGAAGCCTACTGGATGTTCGCTGGGATCTCGTGGGAGGCCTCTCGGGGGCCTCTTTGAAGGCAGCCTGGGGAGAAACCACGACGGCAGCTTGTCGCCGTGCTCGGCCAGCCGAGGGGCTTCTGGCCGAGACGCCCTCGAGCCATGAAGAAATCACGACGCGAAGTTTTTCGCTATTTCGGCTTCTGGGGGCCCCATACCGGGCCGCGGGACCGTCAAGAAACGGCCCAGGATGAAAAGCCGGTCCTGGGGAACGGGTCCAGGCCTCGGGGGGTCGACGCTGCCAGAAAATAAAGACGCCGGGGGTTTGGGAAGAGAGCACGACGGCAGCTTTTCGCCCTGCTGGGCCAGCCGAGGGGCTTCTGAGAGGCCCCCGCTCTAACAGGAGGAACATTCGAAGTGGCCAAAAATTAGTCTGGGGACGATGTTGTACTACTTTCTAATATTTTTGAGCATGGTTTGACTATCTTTCATTTCTCTTCCAAAATCCGCCTGTAGGAGGACATGCCCGACCTGAGACGAGCCGTGCGGAGCTGCCCCCCCCCCGAGATCTGACGTTGCGAACAAAGTGTGCAACGCACCGCGACGAACCACAACCGGGGCCCCAGACCCGAATTTTCGGCGCCATCTTCCGAGCTGGATCGATCCGTGCGGGCCCTGGGGCCCGAGACGGAGGAGGAGGGGGAGATGGGGGAGGAGGAGGAGGAGGAGGAGGAGGAGGAGGAGGAGGAGGAGGAGGAGGAGGAGGAGGAGAGAGGAGATGGGGGATGAGGAGGAGGAGGAGGAGATGGAGGAGGAGGAGGAGGAGGAGAGGAGGAGGAGGAGGAGGAGGAGGAGGAGGAGGTGGAGGAGGATGAGATGGAGGAGGAGGAGGAGGAGGAGGAGGAGGAGGAGGAGGAGGGGATGGAGAGGAGGAGGAGGAGGAGATGGAGGAGGAGATGGAGGAGGAGGAGGAGGAGGAGAAGGAGGAGGAGGAGGAGGAGGAGATGGAGGAGGAGGAGATGGAGGAGGAGGAGGAGGAGGAGGAGGAGGACTGGGCGAAAAAAAAGAGCCTGCTGTGGGCAAACTGCGGCGCCCAGCTCTGGGGGCCTCCCTCCGAGCGCTGGGCCTCCGGGGAGCTGCGCCGTGGCCTCGGGCCCGGCCCGCGCGGCGTGGTCCCCCCCCCCGGCGGGCGCCGTCCCTGGGCCGGCCCGCTCCCGAGCACATCGGGGGCGGCAGAGAGGGGGGTGATGACCAGCGGGGGGGGATACCCAGAGATCCAACGCATTGAAAAAATCAAGACGCAGGTTTTTCATATTCTTCGGCCTCGAGGGGCCCTCGCCGGGCCCCGGGACCGTCATAAAACGATTCAGGATGAAGAACTGGTCCTGAGGAAGGGGTCGGGACTTCCGGGGACCCCGTATGGAAAAAAATCACGACATCAGATCTCTGGGGATCGGGGGCGGCGGTGATGATTAAGGGGGCGGTGGATATCATGGCGTGGGCCATGATATTTCCCCATGTTTCATGGCGCATCTTCTTACGTCATTGCGTCCCTAGCCCCCCCACTGGGCCGCGCACATACCACCAGCCTTGATTTGCACCCCCCCCCCCCCTACTGGACGCCCCCCTCTTGGCCGCTCCCGAGCATAGGCAGATCACCTTGGAGCAGATGGCCAGCCTGCTCCACAGTCGGAACGGCGCCATCACCGACGAGGAGGTGCTCTTGGTCCGCCGCGCGCAGAAGGGGGGCAGGGGCAGGGGGGAAGGCCTCTTACCCCCAGGGATCTGGCGCTCCAAAGTGACTGGAACGGCGGGTGCTTGGCCGCTCTCGGCCTCCAGGGGCCATCGTCGGGCCTGGGAGCTGTCAAACATGGATTCAGGACGAAGGACTGGTCCTGGGGAAGTGGTCAAGAACTCTTGGGCCTGCGCATCGGAGAACATGGAGCGGCCGGATGTCTGGGTAGAAGCACCCCTGCTTCTCAGAAAGTGCGGGCCTTGTCTGCAGGTGTAGGGCTGGCGCCCTCTAAGAGGCGGCCTCCTTCTGAGAAGCCTTCCCCCCTGCCCCTACCCCCTGGTATGCGCCGTCAACCAGGGGGGGGAGGAGGGGCAGCGCGGCGAGCAGACCTTGGGGCGGGGAAGATCGAGGTAGTTAGCGTTACCCGGCAGATCCGGGCGTTGCAGCGTGGTCGCGCTGGGCGTTTTCGCCCGTTCTGGGGCCCCGGGAGCATCGCAGATCCATCCGGCTCGGACAATGCCGCAGAGACACGGGGTACAGCGCTCGGGTCGTGCTGTGTTCGGGCGGGGCTAGGACGAGGATAGATCCGTTCCAGGGCGTTCTGGAGCCCTCTCAGAGCGTGCCAGATCGCTCCGAGAGGGCCGCGGCGCCCGAGGCATCCTCCAGAGCTGCCAGATCTCAGAGGTTCCCGATCTGTCCTCCCCCGATGTTATCCTCGTCCTGGCTTCGTCTTAGGAGGAGGAGGAGGAGGAGGAGGAGGAGGAGGAGGAGGAGGGGGAGGAGGAGGAGGAGGAGGAGGAGGAGGAGGAGGAGGAGGGGAGGAGGAGGAGGAGAGGAGGATCGAGGAGGAGGACGATCGAGGAGGAGGAGGAGGAGAGGAGGAGGAAGGAGAAGGAGGAGGAGGAGTAGGAGGAGGACGATCGAGGAGGGGGAGGACGATCGAGGAGGAGGAGGACGATCGATGAGGAGGAGGAGAAGGAGGAGGAGCAGGATCGAGGAGGAGGATCGAGGAGGAGGAGGAGGATCGAGGCGGAGGAGGAGGAGGAGGAGGAGGAAGATCGAGGAGGAGGACGATCGAGGAGGAGGAGGAGGAAGGGACGATCGAGGAGGTGGAGGACGATCGAGGAGGAGGACGATCGAGGAGGAGGAGGAGGATCGAGGAGGAGGAGGAGGAGGAGGAGGAGGAGGAGGATCGAGGAGGAGGAGGAGGAGGAGGAAGATCGAGGAGGAGGATCGAGGAGGAGGAGGAGGAGGAGGAGGAGGAGGAGGAGGATCGATGTGATTTTTCGCAGCGTCGGATTCCTTGCGGGGGGCGGCACGACGGGCGGTCTCTCGGGCAGAGGGGGGCGGGGAGGATGGGGGGGGTCGAGGCCGGCAGAGGCGGCGCGGCGCTGGCGGCGCGGGATCTTGGCTGCCTCGATACGCACGTCTTGATGCGCAACACGTACCGTGCTCAAGACGTCCGTGCCAACACGTTGCGTGTCGGCTCAACGTATTGGCCCACGTCTTGGAGAAAGTATTGCGCCTGACCCACGTCTTCAGGATACGTGTTGGAGCTCCGTATCAATACGCTACGTGTTGCGTGTTGCGTATCGGGGCGGCTAAGCACGGGATGTGCGAGGCGGGCGTTGATGACGACGACGACGACGACGACGACGACGACGACGACGACGACGACGACGACGACGACGGTGACGATGACGACGACGATGACGACGACGACGACGACGACGATGACGATGACGACAACGACGATGACGATGACGATGAAGATGACGACGGCAATGGCGGTGGCGATGACGATGACGATGACGATGACGATGATGCCGAGGACGATTGCCACGGCAATTGCGAGCATTCTAGAAACGCTGACAGTTGCAGGAAGCGTTGCACTGAATCCGAGAGCGCCTCGCGAGATCACGGAGCACAGACGTAAACCTGGTATGATGACGATGACGATGACGATGACGATGACGATCGCAGGCAGTCGCTTGGCAGTTGGAGGGCGGTCGAGGATGGGCATCTTCCGCCTTCTCTGGCCCTCCTGTGGGCCTCCAGACCCTCGGCATCGCTCGGGCGTGTGCATCTTTTCTCGACAAGGACCATCGAGGAGCATGTTTGTTCTCCGTGCGAAAAAAAGACACGCACGAAACCGAAAAATGCACAGAGAATGGACGTCCGAGCGATGGCGAGGAGCCAGAACCCCTCGGGCCATGAAAGCATCAGAACGAGAGGCCCCGGCCCTCGCCTGGCCCCAGGACGGTCAAAACGTGCCTCGTGACAGTCACGGGGACTGGGTCGCGACGTTTGCGGGCCCACGCCACGACGTCCGGGGGCTACGCGGAGGCGGGGACCTCCGGGAACGCCCAGAGTAGCGCCCTTGGGCCCCTCCGGGAGCCTTTGGGGATCCAGGAGGAGGGGAGTGGAAGGGGTGGCTGCCTTCTCGCCTTGCCTCTTCTGAAGGTAGCCTGGAAGGCCCTCGTCGCCGCGGCCGGATAGCCGCCTCGAGGCTGTTGCGCTTCGCGCAGCGCCAAGGGCGAAGTTGGGTGACCAGGGTGTGCGCACACCCGTGCGTTCCAAGTTGCACTTCTCGACGCCCTCCCCATCCCGCCCGAGCGAGAGTGCCAGTGGTGATCTCACCGGCCGTTTCCTGACCTTTTGAGTGTCAGAGGTGCGGCTGGGCAGGCCCCACCTTCTGTCTTCGCGTAGTTTTAAGTCGGGTTTGACCCTCTACAGGAGGAATACTTGAAGATAGTCAAGGCATAGTTTCGGTACGATTTGTTGAATATTTTTTCGCTATCGTTTGTGTATGTTTGGCTATTTTGATTTTTTCGTCCAAAATCCCTCTGCAGGGGGGGGCACGCCCGACCTCAGCGTAGCTCCGACGGGCTCGAAGGTGCCCACCTTCAGCCCCCCCCCGTCTAGCGAGCGACCCCGCTGACGTGGATGGCATTACCCTGGCCAGCGCCACCCGCCTGCAAGCCCAGAAGTGGGCTCCTCGTCGGCCCGTCCGCTTCCGTCGCACCTGCACGTTCGTTGCGTGCTGGCGCGCCGAGGAAGCTGTACTTGAGACCAGCTTCTTGTTTCCCCGAGCTCGCGCCGCGGGCATGTTCCTCAACACCGGCGTTCTCTTTGGGCACCGCTTCTCTGCGCGTGGAAGAGGCATGCCCAGAAGTGTGTGTTCTTGCTTCCTGTGCTCGCGCAGGGGTCAAGGGCTGCCCCACGCCTGCAGCGGCAAGACCCCTGGAGCCCCCAATCTTGAGCCCGTGCCTCTCAGGCGATGCGCAGCAGGGAGGGGGAGCAGGCGGGCTGCTTGCGAGCAGCTGCTGCGTGCCGCTGGCTGAGCCGCTGGCTTCCGCCCCTTCCGCCACGAGCACCCTATCCCAGGCGATCACAAACATGGATTAAGGAGGCGTGGATTAGCGGCGGGTCCCGCTTCCATGGGAAATCGCGGATTCCCGCCGCCGAGCGAGGCGGCGCCGGCCGCATTTTGGGGAGGGCACCTCCCCCGATCCATGGATTTGGCGACCGCGCGCCAAATCCATGGATCGCTAATCCATGATCGCGCGCCCCCGACTAACTATCCGCGCGCAGGTCGCTCCCGACGCCTCGAGGTGCCCAAACGAAGAATGTTGCAGCACGCGGTAGCGGATTCGCTGGCCCACCCTTGGCAGCCCTCCCACCCTCCCTCGTCAACCCTGTCCCTGGAGGAGGAGGAGGAGGAGGAGGAGGAGGAGGAGGGGAGGAGGAGGAGGGAGGAGGAGGAGGGAGGAGGAGGAGGAGGAGGAGCGAGGAGCGAGGAGCGAGGAGGAGGAGAAGGAGGAGGAGGAGAGGAGGAGGAGGAGGAGGAGGAGGAGGAGGAGGAGGAGGAGGGAGGAGGAGGAGGAGGAGGAGGAGGAGGAGGAGGAGGAGGAGGAGGGGGAGGGGGAGGAGGAGGAGGAGGAGGAGGAGGAGGAGGAGGAGGAGGAGGAGGAAGAGGAAGAGGAAGAGGAAGAGGAGCGAGGAGGAGATCGTCGTCGTCGTCGTCGGCGGCGGCGGCGGCGTCACCCTCCTTCATCAATCCTGTCTCCCCCTCTCCTCCTCTCGGCCCAGCTTGGCTCGGCGCACCCCTGGAGCCCCGTCCCGCGAGCCTGTGCCGTACTCCGACGGGCCAACGGGGTTGCCCCGGGCCGCGCTGCTCGACGCACTTTCGGCTGTAGGGTGGGGGGGTGCGTCTCTTCACGGATCCACCGTCGAAGACGAGATCGATACACACGATTGCGTTCTGAGCGGTGAGACCTCACAGGCGCGCTCCGTGTGCGTTGTTAGCCGCGTCGGGGAACGCTGCGCTGGGGAACGCTGTTTGTTTCGCTGCACCACGCTGGCAGAAGCGGGCTTGCTGCGTATGTGCGTGCCCGTCGTGGTGTCACTGACCTCACTCCAGGAGCAGAGTTGTGCCCTTGTTGCGATGCGTGCGTTCACGAGCAGCGTGGCTCAAGCCTGTGCCTGCCCCAGCGCGCCACAGCGGCCACGGCAAGGTCGACGTTGCAGGCATGGCCCAAGAGCGGCATGTCGCAGCGCACGCCGACGCTGCAGGCATGGCCCAAGAGCGGCGTGTCGCAGCGCACGCCGACGCTGCAGGCATGGCCCAAGAGCGGCGTGTCGCAGCGTACGCCGCCGCCCAGGCCGCGGTGGCCGCGCTCGACGCGGCACCCGTGCGCGGCGCCGGCAGCAGGGCAGCCACTTGGTCTGCCTGCGAGGCCCTGTGGGCAGCGGCGCTGGCCCTGGGCCCGCCGGACCCGTCCGGGCCGCAGGCGAGCCCCGGCGCAGCCGCGCCGCTGCTCGGCGGCACCGGCGCGGCCGCCGCCCCCGAGCCGGGTGTGCGGCCGCGCTCCGGGCCGCCAGCCCGAGGCCGCTGCGGCGCTTGTCCTGCCAAAGAGCAGGCTCCCGGCGCCGGCGCCGCGCTGGCACAGCCCGCGCCCCCGCAGCAGCGGCTCCCCCCCGCGGAGCCGGCAGCCGAGGGGCCCCGGGGTGGCCTGCGGCAGCGCGGGGCCTCCGCCCCAGAGGGCCCCGCGCGCGGCGGCGCTTGCCGCAAGGAGGCGGGGCGTCAGGCTGATGGCCCAGCGGCGGATGGCGGCACGGCCCCGGAGGTCGCGGCCGCCTGCGCGGCGGCGGCCGAGGCGGGCGGCGCGTGGCCGGCCGCGGGCAGCTTGCCGCGCGGGGTCGAGGAGCACCTGCAGGCCTGGAGGTCGCAGGCCTGCTCGCTGCTGTGCGGGCTGCGCTCGGCGCCAGAGCACTGGGCGGACGCGGGGCCCCGGGCCCCTCCGCCAGCCACTCGGGAGGGTACTTCGACATCGCTAGACGAGATGTGCCGCTTGCTCGACGGCCTGGGCCAGCGCTTGCGGAAGCTCCGCGTGGATCTCGACTGCTTGGACGACGGGGACGCAGAGAGCCTCTTCAATACGCAGGGCAAGCTACGCCGCGACGTGCATCGCATCGACCGGGTGTGCCAGAGGTGCGCCGAGCAGCGGGCCGGCGCCCTTTTCTGGAGCCAGGCAGTGCAGAACTCCCCGTGGGGCGAGATAAACACGAAAGACCTCGCGGACTTCATCGAGGATCCGCGGAAGGCGGCTGCCGCCACCACTCCCGGCCAGGGGCCATCCTGGAACCTGGGCTGGTGCATATGACCTGCCCTCCTGGCCTCGACCACGAGGTGCATGCACCGTTCTGGGGCCCAGGCTGTCCCTTGCCAGTGGCGGTGGTGGCGCACAGCCACACTCCGCGTAGAGAGGAGGCGATGGCATCCCTGGACAAGCTCCACGGGCTCTGCGCCAAGTTCGAGGGCCGCCGCCGCGCCGCCGTCGCACGAGCCCGGGCCGCGATCGAGATCGCGGACGCTGACCGCAGGGCTTCGGCGTGTGCCATGCTGGCGGCGGCCATGGAGCCGTCGCGCAGCGTGGACTTCCCGTGCATCACCGACATCTGCGAGAGGCTCGCCGAGAAGCCCTCCGAGGTGCCCTCCGCGGTGCGCTTCCTCGTCGCGGTGCTACGGGAGGCGCAGGGCCTCCGCAGGAAGCTCAAGGCGCTCACGATCGCGCACGAGATGCTCTACGACGAGCGCGTGCTGCTGGAGCTGGCCGCCGCGGACGGGGCGCGGCGCCCGCTGCGGGCGCTCCGCCAGCTGCCCGCGGGCTCGGGCCTCGGCGCCGCCGCGGAGGCCAACGTGCGAATGCTGGCCGCCGAGGTCGAGCGCCGCCTGTCTGGCGCCCGCGGCGCCGCCAAGCCGGCGAGGGCGCGGCCGGCCGGGCTGCTGGAGCAGCTCCGGGGCCTCGTGGCCGCAGCGGGCCCCGGGGCGGGCGCGGCGGCGAGCGGGAAGCGCGCCGCCACGGGCGGCGGGCCCCCCGCGCCTCGGCCGAGCGCCCGCCTGGACCCCGCGCCGTGGCACGGGGACGGCGCGGGGCCCGCCCGGGGCAGGGCCGGCGCGCGCCGGCTCGCCGCGGCCCTGCGGCGCGGCGGCGGGTGGCAGGGCGGCCTGCCAGCGGGCGAGCTGGCGGTGCTGGACGACGCCCGCGGGACGCTGGCGGGCCTCGCCGGGGCGCTGGCTCGGCTGCACGAGGAGCTGGGCTGCCTGGACGACGGCGTGCTGGGGCTGCCCCTGCGGCGGGAGAGGCAGCGCGTCGGGTCGCTGCGGCTGGCCGCGGCCAGGCTGCAGGAGCGGTGCGAGGCGTGGCGCGCGTGCTGCTGCGCCGGGGGCCCTGCCGGCGGCTCCCCCAGGCACGGCCCTGACGCCGCGCCTCCCGGGGCGGCCGCGGGCTGCGTCGCCTGCGGCAGCGCCGGGTGCAGCCTCTGCCAGGGCCCCGCGCCAGGGGGTTCTCGTGCGCCGCCAGCGCGGCGACCGCCCGCAGGGCTCCTGGCCGACTTCCTGGAGGAGGCCCTCGCGGCGACCGACGAGTTGCACGTGCGCCGCCGGCAGCTGTCTGACCTGCGCCACTTCGCTGTACAGAACGCCAAGGCCGCAACCGAGGCGGCTGGCTAGCAAACGGCGGCCGGACTGGCAGGGGTGGCCGCTGCTGCGAGGAAGAGAAAGAACGATCAGTGACAGTTGGATCGGCCGTGCTTGTGCGACCCGTGTCCTACAGGCGCTGTGCATTCTCGCCCCGCTGGCGCGACCAAACAAAACACAAACAGTTGACAGGCAACGGACAAGTAGATCCCGTCGCCGAGGGACATTCGCGCACATCTTGGCGCCACCGTGGAGTTGTCAGGCTTCTGCGGGCTTTTCTGGGGGGCCGCAGATCCCCAGGCGTGCCACGGGCCATCACCATCTTTGTTGCCGCCATGGCCCATGGCATGCCGCTTCGGGCAAGCCTGCTGGAAAGCTTTGCAGCAGGCGCGCCGATGCCCCACGGAAATGTCTCATCCGCCGACGGCCCCAGGGGCCGACGGAATCCGTGGGACCACCCGAGGAGTTCGAAAGGTCGGCGGCAATTGTGCCACATACCCAGACGTCCGGCCGCGCCAATGTGTTCGATGCGTGGGCCCCAGAGGTCTGGACCACTTCCCCTAGGCCAGTTTTTCGTCCCGAGTCGTTTTCTGACGCTCCCGAGGCCCGGCGAGGGCCCCTAGAGGGCCGAACGTTGCCAGCGGAATCCCGCCGCTCCCCTTGTTGTTCGGGAGCGTCGGCTCTCGGGGTGTACACGGCATCCTGCAGCGAGAGATGCCTTGTCGCCTGCTCGGCGATCCGCGCGGGGGGGGGGCGCCCAGCCCACGGGGGGGGCCACCTGGGCGACGCAAAAAAAGGGGTCGTCTCCAACGACACTGGCGCGCAAGCCGCCCGCGTCAGGTCGCGCGTATAGCGCACTCGCCTCCGATGCAGCATGCCGCGCGCTAGCGGCCCGCGTGAGCCACCACTGATGGGCCTGTTTTCCACCACTACCACAATATAAGTTGGCGGCGGGAAGGAGGTGGGGGATGAAGAGGAGCAGGAAGAAGAAGGGGGGAGGAGGACCCCCTCCCCCCTTCAACTTGTGGTGGTGGTGGTGGTGGTGGTGGTGGTGGTGGTGGTGGTGGTGGTGGTGGTGGTGGTGGTGGTGGTGGTGGTGGTGGTGGTGGTGGTGGTGGTGGTGGTGGTGGTGGTGGTGGTGGTGGTGGTGGTGGTGGTGGTGGTGGTGGTGGTGGTGGTGGTGGTGGTGGTGGTGGTGGTGGAAAACAAGCCCATCAGCCGCGTAAGGTCGCCGTGCCACCTCGCGTGAGGCCCGCTGTTCGTCGTCGCTCGCCTCGCCTCGTCGGCGCACGGCGCCGATCGTCTTGTCGGAGGGCCTCCGGCGCGGCATGGTGAGGGGCGGCCCGCGGCGCGGGGCCGACGGGGCGGTTGGCGGGGGGGGCTCGCCCTCCTGGCGCTCCTCCGTGTTTCGGCGACGAGCGAGGGGGGGGGAAGCGACAAGCTGGGCGTCTGACGCCCTGGCCTCAGGCGATCGCAAGCATGCATTTAGGGGGCGTGGATTAGCGACGGGTCCCGTTTCCATGAGAGATCGCGGATTTCCGCCGCCGAGCGAGGCGGCACCAGCCACATTTTGGGGAGGGCACCTCCCCCGATCCATGGACTTGGCGACCGCGCGCCAAATCCATGGAATGCTAATCCATGTTTGCGCGCCCCCGATACTCTTCCCTCCATCCGTTACCATGGCGCAGACCCTCTCTATTCGCACAGTCGGGTGTCGCAGCAGGGCACAGCATGATATGGCATGGCATGGTGCTGAAGATCAACGCATAGCCTGGCATAGCATGGCGTGGCGACGCCCCAAAGTGGGGGGGGAGAGCTTCTGCGGTCCAAAAAATCAACGAATCGACACCGAATGTGTAACTAATCACTCCCGATGGTTGTTTCGGGGGGCCGTTTTCTAGATTTTGGAGCAGGACCGAAAACCATGGCGGGGCATGGCGCTGGAAATAATGACGCCAGCGCTGCAGCGGGAGCACGATTCGGAACGAACGGAAGCGCGGAAATGAGGCCAGCGTTGCAGCAGGAGCACGATTCGGAGCGAGCGCTAGCCCGAAAATAAGGCCAGCGCTGCAGCGAGAGCAACATTTTGGAAGAAAAAAAGAAGCGAAGACCCGTTTCCCGGGAATCTTGTGTGTAAAGAACCAGTACGCGGAGGGGGGCCGAATATTTCCCGGACGTCACCAGGGGAGAGAGGAGAGTAGTATTCATATTGTGTAACTGTGAAGGAGAAGGCCTCCTCAGAAGGCGGCGGGACTTCTCAGAAGCCATCCGGCCTTCTGAGTTTTCTACGTCTTCGGGGGAGGCTTAAGAAACGTTGGAACTCGGTGCATGTGTCCAGCGATTCATCGACGAAGGAGAAGAAGAAAAGAAAATTACTCACTGCGTGGAGCTCCCCATATGTGCATCTATTCGTATGGACCTGTCCGCCGTGAATGTCTAGGCGCAAGAGCTTTCGAATATACACGGGCTTCAGTTGTGACGGTCAGGACATAAATCTAACTGCGAATGAATTGGAGTGTGAATGAGCCTCAGTAGTACGAGCGCGTCTTTGTGCATGAGCCTCGGGCCTCCTGGGGCCTCCTGAAACCTACTGGGGCTTCCTGGGGTCTCCAGGAGCCTCTTGGGGCCTCCTGGGACCTCCTAGGGAGGTTTCGTGCCCCAGGAGAGGCGCAATATATAGCAACAGACGTACATAAACCATTGCGGATTCGTGCCACAGGAGAAGGGCAATCTATAGGAACACGCGTCAAACACAAAGGACTCGTGCCCCAGGAGAGGCCCAATATATATATATATATATATATATATATAGAACATTAGTAAAATATGTAGGATTGTGTACACAGGAGAAGGACAATCTATAGAAACATACGTAAAACATCAAAAGACTCGTGCTCCAGGTGAGGCCCAATCGATAGGAGCATACGTAAAACACATGGGATTGGAGCCACTCCTGTTGCCTTCTGAAGCCTCCTGCTCCTGGGGCCTCTCGGGGCCTCCTGTTGCCTTCCGAGGCCTCCTGGCGCTTCCTGTTGCCTCGTGGGGCCTCCTGTGGTTTCCTGAGGCCGTCCGGAGCTTCCTGGGGCCTCCTGGAGCCTCTTGGGACATCCTGTGGCCTCTTGAGTCTTTCTGTGGCCTCCTGATGCCTCCTGGGACCTCATGATGTCTCCTGGGGCCTCCTGGAGCCTGTTGGAGCCTCCTGTGGCATCCAGAGAAGAATATGCGCCCACGAGCCTGGCCACCAAAACAAGCAAACCGATCGAGACATCCTCAAAATCTGGCCCACCTGGGGGGTGAAAATGAGCGCCTCGCTCGAGACATCCTCCAAATCTGCTCCGAAAGCGAAGGATGCTGGCACAGAAAACAGGCAAACCGCTCGAGACATCCCCACAAAATTCCGCGAACGGGACCCCGTGAAATACCCCCCCGCCGCCCCCCTTAGAGTGCTGAGACGAGCGAATCGCCTGAGACATCCTCCAAATCTGCTCCGAAAACGAAACATGTTGGATCAGAAAATGGCCAAACCGCCTGAGACATCCCCACAAAATTCCGCGAACGGGACCCCGTGAAATACCCCCCCGCCGCCCCCCTTAGATTGCTGAGACGAGCGAATCGCCTGAGTCTGAGTGATGACTGAGTCTGAGCGATGAGAGAGCATGAGTGAGTCTGAGTGATGAGTGAATCTGAGTGGTGAGTCTGAGTGATGAGTGGTGGGTGTGGTGTTCTGTCCTGTTCTGTTCTGTGTCCTTCCGGCGCGGTCCGCCAATAACAAGAACCCCATTTTTGGATATGGGGAAGAAAACAAAAATTACTCACTGCGTGGAGCTCCCATAGGTGCATCCCTTGTAAAAGGTAATATTGTATTTGGGGTATTTAAATGAGCGTCTAGCCATATGAGCCATATGCGCATCTCATATTGTACGGTAGTGCTATGGTGAACATATGCTTATGTAGCTGAAACCAGCGCCTCGCTCGAGACATGCTCCAAATCTGCTCCGAAAGCGAAGGATGTTGGGACAGAAAACAGGCAAACCGCTTGAGACATCCCCACAAACGGCCGCGAACAGGACCGTGTCATACCCCTCGGCGGCTCCCTTTAGGGGTGCTGAAACCAGCGCCCCGCCTGAGACATCCTCACAATCTGCTCTCCAAGCGAAGGATGCTGGGACAAAAAACAGGCAAACCGCTTGAGACATCCCCACAAAACGGCCGCGAACGGGACCGTGTCATACCCTTCGGCGGCTCCCCTTAGGGACGTGACATCCTCCGGATGCTGGGACAGAAGACAGGCAAACCGCTTGAGACATCCCCACGAAACGGCCGCGAACGGGACCGTGTCATACCCTTCGGCGGCTCAATTTAGGGGTGCTGAAACCAGCGCCCCGCCTGAGACATCCTCCAAATCTGCTCCGAAAGCGAAGGATGTTGGGACAGAAAACAGGCAAACCGCTTAAGACATCCCCACAAAACGGCCGCGAACGGGACCGTGTCATGCCCCTCGGCGGCTCCCCTTGGGGACGTGAAAACGAGCGCCTCGCTCGAGACATCCTCCAAATCTGCTCCGAAAGCGAAGGATGTTGGGACAGAAAACAGGCAAACCGGTTGAGGCATCCCCACAAAACGGCCGCGAACGGGGCGTGCGTGAGTCTCAGCAACAGTAAGTCTGAGTAGGAGTAGGTCTGAGTATGAGTAGGTCTGAGTATGAGTAATTTTGTGTGTGAGTAAGTCTGGGTATGAGTAAGTCTGAGTGTGAGTCAGTCTGTGTATGAGTAAGTCTGGGTATTAGGAGGAGAGGGGAGGAGAAGAGGAAGAAGAGGGAGGAGTGGGAGGCGTCCAAGTAATAACAAGAACCCCATCTTAGGATATGGGGAACAAAACAAAAAAAATGAGCATTAACTTTTGGATCCGCCCCCGGGCCACCCTGGCGGCGCCTCCGGCGCCGCCCTTGGCGCGCTTCGCGCGCCAGGGAGGGTGGTCGAGAGTTTATGTTTGTGCCGCTGTTCTTCCTTCTACTCCTGACGCGCATTGTTGGAACTCGGCTTCATGTGTTCAGCGATGCGAACGTCATTGCAGTGCAAGCGTAAAACAGAGGAGCCTGAACAGTAGAATATATTGAGAGCGTGGCAGGTCCCCTTGGCGGAGCAGCCGATGGGCCTTGCAAGTAGCACCGTGAGCCCTCCTGGCCCTTGCCTGTAGCCAGAGACTTCGGAAACCATCAGGC